AGAGAGAGAGAGAGAGAAAGAAAAACAAAAATTCAAAGTGTGACACATTTTTCTTAAATCACGGATCTTTGAAAGATAATAAATAAAATAAATATCGTATTCGCGCCAAATATTCATCCTTATTATTTTCTTCTTTCCGATTCAGATCGATTCATCGAAACGAAACGAATTTTGGAATTAATTTCTTCCTAATTTGCCGACGACCAAATGTCGAACATTTAATGCCGATATCCACGTTGAATTTTGATGAGATCAGGACGGGATGAAAAATTTATAGCGTGGTGAAACTGGCGTGGGCAGTATCACGATGTATTAACATTGGCTAGAGGCATTGTTCCTCGATCCTTTCTCGAAGGCTTAGCTCGTCGGGTCCTTGGCGACTCTCGTCGCATGCCACGCTCGTTCCTTCGATTAACATCAACGTAATATCCTGTAATCGAGTCAGTGTCGTTTACATTTCACATTTTCTTATTCTTTTTCTTTTTTCTTTTTTTTCCCCCCCAAATTTTCGCGTGAATTTAATCTCTTTCGTCCGAATCCAAATATTTTCTCTTCTTTTTTTTTTTTTTCGTTATCGTTTCAATAATTACACGTTAAAGGAATAATAATATCAATCAATTAGAGAATTCTCTCGTCTGTATATATACATATATATATTTAATCTTCTCAAAAAATTAAAAACACTTGCCACTTGATTTAAGAGACTTGGAAATCGACTTTCTCGGACTTAGAAAAAAAAAAAAAAAAACTCGAATCTAATATTAAAAGGGATTATTTTTCCCCCGGCGGGGCAGACTTCTCTTTGCCGTAGAAAATAGTATTAACCTCTTTATCCAATATGCAGAGAATCAAAGAAGCATCCAAAGTGTACGTATATTTCGAGTCCAGTCCAGAATTAAAAATCAAACCTTAACCCTAACTCTCAAGCGAGCCAACCAACGCAATGTTGAACGCCGAGTGTACGAAGTGATGAATGATAAAACAATCGTGGTGTTCGAACTGTGAAACGATCCCCCTGTTTCGGGGGTTGATTGAACGTGTCAACGTCGACGTTCTCGAAAGAATCATCGGATCAACTGTGCGACAAAGGAAGAGGCCAAGGGATCAAAGAGAGAAAAGAAAGAAAGAAAGAAAGAAAGAAAGAGGGGGAAAAACATCGTGGAAAAGGGAAAGGAAATCCGGAAACTGTTGTTAAACTGGCAAGAAAAGGGGGAGGAGGTCCGATAGGTCCGAATGGGGAGCGAAGAAGGCGATGGGATGGCGAACGTGGATGCCGCCGCTTCGTGGCAACAGTATTACACCTGGTGCAACCCTTACTCGCACCCCCATTCCCATTCGCACCCCCACGGGGCGGGCGCGGGGCAGCCGCACACCCACTCCCACCCCCATCACTTCCATCACCCGAATCACATGAATCAGTATCAGCAGGCAGGTCAGTATCAGCAACAACAACCATCGGTGGCGGCATCCACCGCCAACCCATCCGCCCATTATTCCACCTCCCAGCAGTATCATCTCCAGCTTCAACCCGCCCAGACGCCACCCTTGCACCAACAGCAACAATTCCATCCGGTTAGGGGGCAGCCAGCGCCTAGAAGAGCTGCACCTTACGACCGAACAGGTATTCCATTAATAATTTATCTATTTTTTAAAACCAGCCAAAAGTATTCGAAAGTGAAATGGTGAATATTTATAACAGTGTTTAAAGAAGTAGCGACAACGGTGATCGAGAAACTGCTTGTCGCTTTCAATTAGATTAGATTCGTCGAGGATTATTTTTATCCGTCGATTAAAAATCAAAAGTGTCATACGTCCAAGTGTCGATACGATTATATCGAGGGGGAGGGGGATCGTGTTGAAAGAATCGGGGCGTTGTTGAAAAATTGGAAGAAGTGGGTGGAAGAAGATTGGAGGGAAAAGAATCTTTTTCTATCTGCCCGATCTTGTCCTTGGCTTCCGGATGCCTATTATCCTGCTCGCAACCCTGGAGGATTCGACGGATAAATTACGTAACTTACGTGGTCACGCGACGTCAATCACCAAATGGCTCGATCCTTCTCGAGGAATTAATAACGTCGGATAGTTTAGCCTCTCTTTCTAGTCTCGACCGCCTCCTCTTGTGTATCGCCCTGATTAAAATCCCATTCTCCGCCCCACGTTGGCCCGGTTATACCCCGGAGGATCGCGTTTCGTCCATACTTAGAACCTCTTGGTGGAATGAACTTGGTGAAAAAAACTGGACGGATCCAACGATTATAATGATCGATATAATACGCGCATAATATTCCGTAGAAGAGAATCGATGGAGCGAATGAGATTTACGCGATTGATGACTCAATAAAGACAGCTCGACGATACTCGCTTCTAAAAGTGTTTAAACTTTTTTCTTTCTTTCCCTAAAAAATCTTTAATTCAAAAATTTGTCGACTTGTCACTTTAATTAATGTCGTTGTCACACGACTATTAATTAAATTAAAAATTCGTTTTGTCAAAATTCACGTGCGATCGAGATCGAAGATCCGAACAATTCTTTTTCCAACGATTCCAACGCGAAATCGACGTTTTGCACGAGCAATTTTCGTCCGATCGTTTCCCACCCGATTTTCCTCTCCCTAAACAAATTCAAAGTACAAAGAACGTAAGGGATGGAGGTCGAAATAAAAGCAACAGATTCCCTATGAATAATTCAGCGTTCGTTTCGGTTGCCTCGAAACTCTCTTCTTCTTCTTCTTCTTCTTCTTCTTCGTCGTCGTCTTTCGTTACTCGTGCTCATCCCTTCGTGACAGCGTTCCAGACAGGGTGGATTTACTCGAGTCGATCGAGTCGTTTTCGTCGACATTTTTGTTTCGTCGGATACGTAAGAGAGACCGTGTAACATCCACGGATTATGTGTACGCGCGTCTGTGCCTCGGTTACGCAAACGTTTTTCCCAGAAAAATCGCGTCTTTCGTGTCGCATCTCCGTCATGCTGACGCCTCGATCTGTCCAACTCCATCGAAATCGTTCCATTCGGATTTCCTCCATCCATCCATATTCAATAAATACAACAAAATACATATACACATATATATATATAGCGGTTATACACTATCATCGAAGGTGGTCTCGATATTTCAACGAATTTTCTCGTTTTTCAAATTTATTTAAAATTTAGAGCAATACGATGTGTAAACAATAGCATTGAATCAAGATCTTGTCTCGAATGTTTCGATATCTTTCCGTTTTTTTTTTTTTCAATTTTTCAAGTTGTATTTAAATATATTGGAATGGAATTTAATTCTTTTCGAATTTTTATTTTCTTTTAAAACGAGCGAATTTTTGTCGTAGCAAAATGTGTTTGTTGTCGATCGAACGAATGAAGAAACGTTCACGTCGACGACAGGTTGTGACGTGATTATTTTCAATAGGTAGGATAAGTTTGTTAGAGATCGGTAATGCGCTTGTTTAACTCGGCTACCGTGATCGAAGGAAGCGGCTCGTTACGATGATCATTTTCTGCAAGATTGCCTCCGATTATCCGTTGTTGGCCGGTGGACTCGATTCTTTTGATCTTGGATCGATTTAGCCACTCGATAACAAATTGCGTTAAAAGAAAACGAATTTAAAATTTAAATACAAGCGTTAAAAATTGAATCTCTTGTCAATAGACACGTGTAAAAAAAAGAAGCTCAAAAATTGAATTCTCCATAAATATCACCTCTCGATTCGTTCATTTCTTCAGATTAAAAAAATTAAATATCACAAAAATAACGAAATAAGAATTTTGAAAAGACGATACGTAAAAGCGTTCCGCATTTTCCCGTATTTGGATTATTCAAAACAGTAGATTTGTGTCGTCGAAATAAACCGAAATAAGAAATAAGTATTTTCGTATCGGACAAGTTTAACGAATAACATTGGCGATACGCGTTCACGGTTATTTTTCTCTCCATGGAAATTCGCGATAATCCCCGTCGGTGGAATAAACAGCAACGTCCATCATCCGGAGTGGCGGTACATGAAAACCGTATCTAATCGTTCGCCATTTCCATGAGCGGGACTGTCTTTCACCGGCCTGTCCTCTCTCGTTCCCATTCAACTTTTATGTTGTCCTTTTATTCAAATCGCGTTGGCCAGTTTCCACGCAAACTCTTTTCCCAACCTTACACTTGCTCCACTTGTTTCTTATTCTCTTTCCCTTTAACTGGACTGATAGATGATAGAATCTCTCCCTATCTCTTCCCTTTTTTGTTTCCTTTTTTTTTTTGGCAAGTAATTACAACGAATATCTAATATTTTACTATGCGTCCCGATCGTTTCTACTCCAATTTTCATTAAATCTCTCGTTAAAAAATATACGAGTAAAAATGTTTTGGGTTTGGTTGTTAATACGATGTCGTCGAATATATTCGTACACTGTTAAAAGAACCGACTCGACTCGGATGAAGAATCGCGTGTAGAATATGCTTGATATGTTGAACGGTTAAGCATGACGAAAGGAAGGAAGATGATCGACGAGACTGGAAGAGAAAGACAGGAAAACCCGACGAGAAGCCTTGAGCGAACGAAGAAAAAAAGGAAAAAAAAAAAAAAAAACGGAAAAATTCCCATGAACAGCGGAAATCGTTTGCTGTTCGCTACGAGCCTCCATTAGGACACGCGAGTATCAATTAGAATGATAATATTCCGCAAAAAAAAAAAAAAAATCGCTTACAAACGACTCCTCCAATGTATCAACGACTCGATGAAATAAAGAAGAAGGAAGAAAAGAAAGAAAGAAAGAAGGAAGGAAGAATTAGTCGTCGTCAATTAGTTCCACCTTGGACAAAATCCATTACGATCTTTCCTAGATCATTCGTGTAGCGAATCGTGTGGGCGCAACAATCGATGGATCCTTCGCCGCGGCAAACTTTCTCAAGGACGAGCGTTCCGTCTCGTTGCCGAGGATAATGCAACGTTACAGGATAACCCGTGAGCGTGTCTCCACGTTCATTTCCACGGAGGATCATCACCAGGATACGCGAATAATCGTTCTCTCCCTCCCTCTCTCTCTCTCTCTCTCTCTCTCTCTCTCTCTCTCTACTACGTACGTACGTACGT